TTATAATCGGTTATTCGATTAATCGTGCCATCACTAGGTGAGACACAAGTTTTATTACACTAGGTTCGTTCGTTTTGGCCAGAATAACATTTTCATCGTTTAATTTTAACTTTTTGAAGTAACTTAAATAACTAAAATTAAAAAATCGTAAATTTTCAAAAATTGTAAAATAGCTGCACCAGATATTCTGCATGCTGCCATTTTTTGTTTATTTCCTGGTGCACTCTTGAAACTTTGCAGATAGGTATGTTGTTTTTGATGCCAACGTCAATTGCCTCTAATATAAATATTCTATTTGAAAATATTCCGGAGTTATTAAAAAACAATTATGCTTTTTTTGAGTGAAAATAAAAAAACGAGTAATTTCGGTACTTTTTTGTTTAAATAAACGTTTTAAGGCCAAAATTGCTCAAATACTTGATTTAGTTTTTCTTTTACTTGTTCCTGGAACTGGATTTATTGAAGTAAATGCAAGAAGAATGCTTTCGCGCTTTTTGTTTTCAGCCACGATAACTGAGTGACACAAAAAAAAAACAACTCGTGAGATTTGCTCATCTAATTGATTTAACTTGGCATTTTGGAGAACGATTTAATGAATAACTGCGCAGTCTAAATATCTATTCCAAACACTAAAAATTATATATGGATATGTACATACACATGCATATGTATTGCGGACCAGTAGGTCTATTATTTTTGAGCCTATTTTGAAGTCAGCCCTGCAAGGTTAAGAGAGTTATTTTTTTGTGGTTTGTGTTTCCGCCAGGATAGGAGTATGATCTTTTGTGAAACGATTTTCCGTCTTCCGTTGTCAAATTTGATTTAAAGACACGAGAGAGAGAGAGAGGGAGAGGACGAAAAATGACACTGAAGAAGGCACAACGCCGTAACCGGTTTGTCTTCACACCAAATTGGACAAGGGATGACGGAAAATCATTCCACAATATATCGCTAAGAAAGTTCTTCATGGACCGAAACGAATGGTAGACGGCTCGGGTCAGATCCACACTAGTCACTGTATGAATCTAGATTTTCCAATCAAACTATTTAATTTTTTTTCTAGTCAGTATTTTTCTATATAAATTTGAATTGTTATTTATAAAACAAAAAGGGTTTAACCAAAGGGACATGCGGATCACAAATATTGTTAACTCAGCACTGTAGATATTAAAGTCGATTGTTATAACTTTGTCTGCGATTAACTGCGCACTGTGAATGCAGCCTTAACTCACATATGAAAAGTTGGTTCTTAAATGCATCACTGTTCATTTATGTGAAGCATATTAATGGAGCTTTATATATGAAAATGGTCAAATTGGTTTTTGGTTGCTGCTTAGCTCCATGAGGATGTCGATAAGTGATGTTAAATAGCTTTATAGTTACGTTAGTTAAGCCGAGAAAAGTGGTATTTCATAAAACGCAGATGCATTTAAATATGCTAAAAGCAATGTAAATTTTTTCGTCGATCATAAAAACTGGCACTATCTAATGTAATAAACAATATTGCCGGAGCAATTTATATCAGTGAAATATACCAAAAATCTTTTCTAAGTAAAGATATATATTAGAGCTCTTGTTAATCGACTAGTCGATTAATCGAATAATCGATTAGCAAAAGTTCCTTAAAAAATATTCGACTTTATTTAATCGACTAACCGTCTCCATTTGACTTTCTCGACTAACAGATCACAAATAACTAGTCGACTAACCGTTAGTTTTACATTTTCCGATCAGTTGCTTTCTTTCAATAAACATTGTTTTTTATATTTTTTTAATATTTATATTTAATGGCAGAACCCAACCGCGCTAATGAAAATCATTTTACTTTGAAAAACTGTCACTACTCGAGTAGCTGCTGATTAGCCGATTTTCATATTATGGTGAGATATGGTTAGCGGTTTGTCGAAGGTGAACGGTTAGTGCAATTCGAACGAATACACAGATAATTATCCATTATGATACATTTATTAGTAATATAACGGTACACCTAAACATAGCTAATTGAGGCATGAAAAAATTAAGTTCTGGAATATTCTTTTATAGAGTTTCAGATAGTCACGAAATTTAATTGAATGCTGAAGAACCAACTCCTTGTCGTTTTTGTTATAGCTTTATGGCCTTATTCATAAAATATAAAGTAGGTTTAAAGAGCTTTATAAATTGACGTTTTCATACATTTTTCAATTTATAAACCTCTTATAAAGCTACTTTATTTTTTATGAATAAGGCCTTTAATATTTCACTTTTCTGGATGTGTTTTATATCCAATTTTGAGAAGAGTTTAACTACGTCAAGTAAAAAATTTCTCTCGACGCACAATTTGGTGGCCTTTGCTCAGTTAAATTTAGTTTTTCCGGCACGCATTGATATTTTCGTAGTAAGACATATGTACGTACATATAGACGTAACAAGTAGCCGATTCCTCAGTTACCGCTCAGAATCTAAGTTTATTGAAAATATTTTACTAAACTTTAAAAACATTCTGAAATTGAAAAATATGTATGTACATTGAAGAGCGAAGATCTAGAACATTAAAGTGAAAAAGAAAGCTGAAGTTTTGGCCAATATTTATGTTGGTTAAATGTTTTCTTTTTTGTTTATTTATATTAAAATAACAAAACAAGACAAATATTGAATTAATGAAGAAATTTTTTTGTGCTTATTAAATTTTTTAAATTTTTATTTTTAAATTCTAAAGACCTTTGCTGAACAATAAAAGTTTGTTGGAGAAATACTTTGAAGTTAGAAATTTTCCAATTTCGCGACCATAAAGAACACCGCTAAAGGCTACCTCTATTCTTTTGATGCATAAAATACAACTTTTTAAGAACTTATGCTGGTAATATATAGTGACTCGTACAAATGTTCACAGGTTGACTTTCTTTTTTTATATTTACAACGGTTTTCAAGTAAGATTTTTTTAAATTTTCTATAAAAATATTGTCTAAGGTTTAGCCAAAACCATATAAACCAGAGTTTCAAATTTTATAAGAAATGTATGCTTATATGGAAAAAAGTGCAAAAATCCGTCAGCAAAAAAAAAAAAAATTAATGTCACAGATTGAAAAATTCGACATTTTATGACATTTTTAAAATTTTTGAAACTCCGATTATAAGGTTTTAGCTAAAGCTTGGACAATATTTTTATGGAAACAAAAAAAATTTTTAACTTGAAAATCGTTGTGAATATTTAAAATAATCAACACGTGAACACTGTATTTAGTATTTTGAGGACGTAAATATTCTTTTTTCTCATTCTGTGTACTTATTTTTTCTTCAGTTTACTTTATATTACTTTTTTGTTAATCTCATTTTTTTCTTTTGCTTGACATAGTAATTGTTAAATAATTAAAGGTCTAACAAAATCTATTATTCAGCGACTTGATTTGGTTCCTAGCTAGACTCTAGATGAGTAAGACATTATTTTTATAACTACTGATGTTTTGTTTTTTAATTTTTATTTTTTTTTACTAATAATTCATATAAAAACCGACCTAATTTTTATGATACCAAAATGTCTAATTCTTCTACTTCAACATTAAAAAGTTAAACGATTCCTATTCGTGAGCATTTGCAGTGATTTTTTTTTTCAGCATTCGCTTTAAAATAGCAACACTTCACTTTCAACCAACAATCAAAACTTGTTGCATTGCTCCTAGGCGAAAATCGTGGCACGCACACTCACGCAAGTTCTACACGAGACGATTAAATATATGTATGTATATGCATGTAGTGGTAATCTTTGCAGACCGCCAAAAAACGCATTCTTTCAAATCAGGTTTTAAAGTTTTACTAACTGTATATAGTGTTTTTTTTTTAGTTTTTCACTTAAAAATTTATCTATTTGCACTTTGACACAATTTCACATAATTTTCGCTTGTTCCACAATCAGTTACATACACATGAACACGTCAGATACGCATACGTTTAGTACACAGCAAATTTGCTGGGTGAGTACTGGAAAAATCGTCAAACGTGAAAAACGAGAGGAGCAACACGTTGCTAACACACAGACCGCCCAACGAAGACTAAGCGCACGACAACAACTGTCACAGCACGGAACACTACACGCGCCGTCACAGCTACAGCGGCAACTATGGACAACCGAAGTGTGCACGAGTCCAATGAGGCTGTTGGTGGTGGGTGGGTGAGGGAGTGGTGGAAAAAGTTCACCCTATGCGGGGCAATCACCAACAATAATTCAAAAACAACAGCAGCAGCAGAACTAGCAGCGAGCACGGAGTCAGCGACTCCAAATGAAACATCAACATTGTCTCCGGTTGCAGGCCACGATTGCCTGCTGTGCTGTCCTCCGATGCTCACATATGTATGTACGATGTACTTACCAGTTTATCACTCGCAACTTGCTCTGTTTATGAATCTTCGTGTGCTCACCCATGACGAAATGCTCACGTGTGTATGTGTGTGTGTCTAGTACCGTTCTCTCATATCCGTTCCGTTTACCATTTGGTTTCTTTTGATTTATTTTATATTCGTTCCATATCTCGCGAGCTTGGCCTTTCACGAAATATATTCACTCTCTGGTTCGGTTCGTTTCACAAAGAGGCTCTGTGTCCGGGTCAGCTAGCCGCTTACTGGCACATAAAGGCAATGCCCTGGTGAGTGTTCGCTATTGGCGAGCTCTCGCATGTCCTGGCAGTTTGAGAAGGTACATACATATACATTCATATGCATGCAAGTATAAGTAGTGGTGGCTGATAGAAAACTAGAGAGTAAATAGCAAAAGTGGAACGTCTGTTTAAAAAATGTCTGCACATTTGATGAGATTAAGCAGCGGAAGTCAGATGTTAATGGAAGGAATATGAAAAGGAACAAACTTAACGAAACTTTGAAAATCTCTTGAAATGGAAAATGGTAATAGCCACACTTTATTCCAAAGAACGAAAATCCAGACTAACCGCTGGTATTTACTTGAATTTAAATTGATGCTCGTTTATAAATGTAACTAATTTTGAAGTTCTTGTTTGAGGTTTTTTAATAAAATTTTTTCTTTAACTATTACATATTTTTTTATGAAAGCTCAGCTCATTGCCTACCAAAAGCCTGTAAGTCCAAATTTTATAAGTTTGTACAAAAGTAAGGAAAATTCGACAGATTTTATCAAAATTTCAAACTTTGTAACCAGAATATTTGGCAAAAACTTAGGTATGCAATTATATAGCACAAGTGCAAGCATTAAGTAGCTAAGACGTACCTGTGATTTTTGGCAATTTTTTTTGTCGCTGACGGTTTAGAAAATTTTTTTTAAATGGAGAAAACGCACAAGCTCTAGCTACTTCAAACTTTCGCTTTATTAAATTAAAACTGAATGTGCTAAAAAATTGCATAAATCGATTTTTTTGTAGACTCTGAAGAAAAAGTTTGAAAAAAAAAGGTTTCAAATTCATTGAGTTTTTGTGAACATTGTAGAAATTTGTTGAAAATTATTGAATTTTTGTGCATCTTGTTGAAATTTTGATTTGCTTTTACAAAAAAAAAACAAAAAAAGATTCAATAAACAAATGCAAAATAGCTAAAAATTGTTAAAATGTCGGGTACGAGTTCTTTGCCCGCCACCGTAGATGATGTAGTATATCTTTTGGTAATTGAGGAATTTACTCTTCTTGGAAAAATTAAAGATATTTTTTTTTTTTTATAGCATCTTATGATTTCAATCTTTAGCTGTTGAATGTATGAGATCAGCTAGGAACTGCCTCATTCTTTCGGTCACTGGCAGTGGCGGATTTGAATATTTGTCACCCCTAGGTAATTCAGAATTTGCCGCCCTTTTTCCGATAAGAAAAATATTTTAAGGTAAAAGTGCCAGTTTTGGAACGATTAGCAGTAAATAGTAGTACCAAAATTTATGTTATTTGCTATACATTTATTAAAATTTAAGATAAAAAAGTGGTATTTGCCTTGAGTAAAGGGTTTCAACTTTTAAAGAAAACCATCACTAACAGAGTTTTTTCACTTGATAAGTTATAATCTCAAAAATACTAAATTAGTATTTTTAAATATTATTATTTAAATAATATCAACAATACCTAACAGTGTTGTCTTATTTTCTGACTGCGTAATTGAATCTCAAATTTATGTCTTAAAATGTACAAACATAAATTCTACTTTCAGTGCAGCTAACTTGAAAAAAAAAAGATTTTTTGTTCCCTGTTCCCTTTACGACAAATCCGCTACTGGTCACTGGTCTATTGAACAAACCGTTGTTCCTCAGACGCACTCCTCGGTCTCTTGGACTGGAGGTGCGTAACTCAGGATATCGTTTGAAAAAAAGTCAACTTCGAGTCAAGATAATTTTTAACACAATTTTCTTCGCTCTCATATAATTTTTTCCGTAAAAAACTCAGTCGTGGGCAGTCATCATTAATATGAACCCATTATCGACTGCTAATAAAAACTTATTAAAGCTGCACAATACCAGGAAACTTGCAGCTGCTTTTTCGGAGAGCTTAAACAATAAATCTCGGGATCTTGAGTTACTGATGAATATACCCCTTAAGAAGGTTTCAAAAATATGCTAGGCAAGAAAATATATCGGCATAGATCCGAAAATCTAATGCCAAATTATCAGTGCGAGTCCGACGGGCTAGGCAAATTAAACTTGGCTCATCGAAGCGATCTCGCTTACGTATGTACTTAAATTAAGTGTCGGTCCCAAAATATATACCTGCACCAAAACTTCAAAATTAAAAAAAAAATAAATAAAGATCGCTACCAGGGTTTGAAAAATTGTAATATATTAAATTTTACATACATATGTATGTATTATTAAAAATTAATCTTATAAAAGGCTCAAGTTATGGTGCCTTAGCATAGCCATGACCATAACCCTATCTATTATCTGTTCATATAAAACGTAAGCAATTACGGTATTATAGTATGACACCTGTCATCGTGCAGTACTAAGCTCTAAAAGCTATAATTTATTTGAATTTTTATGGATAAGTGCGGCATTTAAACATATTTCCTATTTTCTATAAAACACTGGTTAACAAATAATTAAGAAATTCATATTTAAGGGAGAATTAGTATGCTCTCTATGAGCTCAAAACGCATTTGTCAATATTTCTATAGGCAGATATTTGAGATATATGTATTTTAGTCTGTTTTCGGGGTATAGTTTTTTGTAAAAGCTTTTGCTTGCCGAACTGACAGGTGCGACCAATACAATTACTTCTTTATTGGAAAATAAATAAAAGTACACGTCAAAGGCGTGGTCAAACTGAAAACTAGGATTTCAATGATTTTTTTTTTTAGTAAAATGTTTTAAATTTTCGTGGATTTCCATATTTTGTTTGCAGATCAAAATAAAGGGGCCTATATAAAACTTATAATAATAGTGATAATAATATTTTGGCGCTAACACTTTTGGCAAATGTTTGGTGGAGTTTCTCCTCGCACCTATAATCACTCAGTCACAGCTGCTGTCAAATATAAAATTTAAACGTTTATATATTTTTTAAGGACCACCCTAATGTACATACATGCACATTTATGTACGCACATACATGCATAGGTAAGTATTTATGTATAATAAATAATTACCAAACGTTTATGCATTTTAAATGCAGCAGATACGAGTATGTAACATACTTCGTTCTATGTTCTGTAATAAAAGCAGAGGCGCCGCTTACTGTAGGGGTGTAACAGTGAACTACACTAATTTCACTTTTACTGTTACGAAACATAAGAGAGTGTTTAGGATATGTTTGCCATAACATTTGCGCAGAAATAATAGCAGCTTTACAGAAATACCACTCACTTACAAAGCCATTACTCTGTAATATTCCTATTTGCTCGCAGATGCATTGCATTAACAGCTGCTATACGCCCCCACATATTCTGCATACATACTTACATATATCGACTGTTTGACTTAAATGTTGCTCTCACTGCAAATGTGTATGCTGACGTGCATATGCGCATGCCTACATACTTACTTACTTTTACATAAGTAAGTATACCCAGTGGGAAAATGGGAATGCATTACCTTTTTCCACAAGAAAAGATTAACGAAAAGCGCAATGTAAGCGAGCGGATGATGTGTAGTTTTGAAGCGAAAAACAAAGCAAAAATGTTGAAAACTAACTCAAGTATATTTTTTGCACGTTATCTCAATAGCTGCTGTAGCCGAATGGATGCGTGTTCGACTGCCGTGTTGTTGGTCACGGCTTCAAAACTTGTGTCAAGGACTGTATTTTTTATTTTTATTTTTTGTTCTATTTATAGATTATCTATATATATAATCTATATATATAATACGGGAAGAAAATGAACAATGCTCGATTTTGAAGAATGGGGTGTCAAATTAAAGCCCTTGGCCTGTAGATGTGCAAACTGGTTTTATTTTTGGAAAAGAGTTGCCACCTGTTGAACAATTAAATTCAAGTTATTTGAAAATCAGTGTCATCATATCTGATCGTTCGTTCGATTTTCCAAAATGAGGCGTCAAATTAAAAGGCTTGGACTCTATGTACAACAAGGTTTTACTTTTTTGAAGAGTTGCCACCTTTAAAAAAATTATATTGAAATTATTAAAAAAAATAAATCAATTATTACAAACTGGGTACCAAGCGAAATGGTTTTGAAAAGCTTTGCTTCTTAGCTTATCTATAGGAGAGTTGCCACCTGTTTAAAAAATCATATTAGGTAAGACAATTATGTATCACCATATGGGTGCCTAAGGAAAGGGTTTTCAGAAAGTAGTATATAATAATATTGGGAAGAGGGTTGCCAGCTGCTTGAAATGTCGAATTTAGTTTACTTATAACTACACAAGTTATACGAAATAAAAAAGTATGGATGCCAATCGAAGGAGTGTTAAGAAATCTTTAGTTTGAATGCTAAGAATATTTTTGAGGTGCTGAAAGAGGGTTGCCACCTATTTGAAAAGGTTAATTCAAATTATTTTATAAGTTAAATGAATTATTAAAATATGGGTATTAATCGGAGGGGGTTTGAAATTTTTTATTTATGAACTGTATTTAGCGGG